TGTGCTGGTTGGGCGACATAACAGGTTACCGCTACTGTTTATTCCAAAAACATTGTGCGTCTTTCGGAATTAAATTCTAAAAATATCACGTAAATTTCGTTACAATTTCTCAGAAACGATCATTGCGGGAAAATTGTTGGCCGGGACTAAGATTTTTGAACGATCGATGCGATAAAACGATAGTTCGAGGAACGATAGAAGCGGGAAAATGTAACATTATTTTATATGGGATGTATTCGGGACCGAACAAAACGGACGATGCATCCGGGAAAACGATAGTTCCGGGAACGATGGATAGAGGTTTCACTGTAGTTTATTTACAACACCAGACTTGCCTGTTCTCTTGTCTGCGGTAATCAAGCCTACAGTTTCCTGTGGCTATATTAAAGAGAGTGTGAAAGGCACATTCCAAACAATAGAGTGCTCTTTCAATGAGTTGTGCTGCCATCTGAAGATCCTCACTCATTTTGCATAGATCAGACAACTGAATTAGTGCATCTACATGGTAAGGGTGCTCATTGAATATTGCCTGAAAAAATACATTAATAATCAACTTTAATAATCAACATTAATCAGAAAATGGCAGCTTAATTTACCATTCACATAAAAATTTCACTTTGTCAGTGCCTGGACATTTAATTAGCCAACTCGTAGTACGAGCATTCTTGAAAAGCTGACAGTCAATCCATTAAATTCCTCACTATTAACTAACTAGATGGCTTACCGAACCCGAAGGTTCATCACCGAATTAACCAAAGATCTCCACCAGACCCTGTCCTGGGCCAAAATCCAGTTTCCTTCAACTACTATCTCCCATTGATCCCAGCTGAGATTATCCTCCCATCTACATCTAGGTCTCCCCAGCGGTCTCTTCCCTTCAGGTTTCCCAACCAGTACCCGGTGCACACCTCTTGTCCCATCCATGCGTGCTACATGCCCAGCCCATCCCATTCTTCTCGACTTAATCACCCTGACAAGGAGGAATACAGATTTTTAAGCTCATCATTATGCAGTTTTCTCCACGCCCCATCGTCTTCCCTCTTAGGCCCAAATATCCTCCTCAACACCTGCAATCTGTGTTCCTCCCTCTGAGTGAGAGACCATGTTTCGCACCCATACAAAACAACAGGTAAGATTATTGTTTTGTACACTTTAGTTTTCAGGTTCTTAGAAATCAGACGAGAAGACAAAATATTTTGAACTGAGAAGTAGCATGCATTTCCAGAATTTAATCTCCTCCTAACTTCCTCATGAGTGTCATTTTGATTTGTTATTGTTGTTCCCAGATATTTGAACTTTGTAACCTTTCAAAGGACTTATTAGCTACCCTAAGATAAATTTGCCCGCCTGTCTTCTGATGACGAGATACTAACATGTACTTAGGTTTTTCTAAATTTACTTCTAGCCCCAAATTCCTCACTATTATGAAACCAAAAGTTCATTACCATGTTCATAACAGCCTGCCAACAGACACACACTATTCTAAGCCAGCTTAATCCAGTTTATACTCTCAAGGGCCAAGGAAGATGAGAAACAAGAACAAAATGTCACTGCTATGCAAAGTGCAAGTATACTATTGTTTGTTTCATAAATACTCATTATATGATACAATTAAGGGCAGCTTGAGGATTAACTTGCACAGTTCTCTTAAAACTTTTAAATCATGGGCAATCAGATGAAAACAGAAGTCCTCACCAATGCAAATTTCTAAAGTAGTACATTGCAGTTATGTCTCAAATTTTAAATTGGTAGCTATAAATTTAGCCAAAAACAGCAATAACTTAATAGCATGTATTTGATATAAGGGAAAAGATATGACTAAGAATTATATGTTTATATCATTTTGAGCATTCAGATTACTTTACATACCACAACAAATATTATCACTGGACTGGAAACCAAAATCCTGGACATTAAAAATATCCTGAGTGACTACTTACTACAATAATGTCAGGATTGAGACTTTCAACTGCCTCTAGGAACATCTTCTGGATTTGCTGGTAGTTGGTATTGTGTTCATATTTAAAGGACATTATAACACCATGCATTTCTGCAGCTATCCTCATTGATAATCCTATTACAATGAAAAGAAGAAACAATTATTCATTATTACACAGTTATATCAATGGTAACAGCCCTAAAAATTAGGCCATCAGTATATGATACACTCTGTACTGCATCCCACTCAAATTACTGTTCAGTAAATATGCAATAATTAGTCACCAAAGTAAAAGCCTAATTGTTAGAAGTTTACACATACATTCAAAAAAGGAATGCTATTTCTTTGCTTCTGTATTTCTTGGACAGTCAGTGGAAGCACAGGAGACCAATCTTCACAAAGCACCAAATTCGAAAGCATGCAGTTTATATCTTTGTCAAGGTTGGTACTTGTTAGTTGTTAACTCTATTGAAAAGTATTACATTAAGCATAATGAAAAAAAAGATCTTATTAATTTCAGTAGAAACAAAGGAAAACAAAATGAAATTATACAAACATTATATCAGCTAGAAGAGCCTATTTATTTATACAAATAAGAGTGTTTCAAAAGACATCACTCTCTAAAACATAGTGGTGTTTGACAGTGCAAAATGACACCTGATATATGAATAAAATGTCAGAGGAATTGCATGTTAATGTCAATTTAAAGAATACACACCGAAGTTTGCAATGCTTCAAAGTGGCCAGCACCAAACAGCGCAGGTGTGATTCTGTTAAAACCGTTCACTTTGCAACTGTCATCCTGGCTTTTCAATTATAAACTCCAGATGTTCAGAGTAGCACACTCATTCCCCAAACACTTCAAGACAACTGTATGAAATAATAGTAGCAACAGCAATACATTTATATCCAAGCCTCCACCTTGCCTGCACATAACATTGAAACCTGCTCTTAAATTTTTAAAACATGGTATAAATCACTAAAATTAAACAACTGCCTAAAACACCTAATATTTAAAAAGGATCATTATATAATGTTGTAGATTCCTCAAGAGAAAGCAGGTGGTATGAAGACTGACTGACAATGATTGGCTTATTGTAACAATGTTATAATCCTTAATATGTACAGATCAGAGCCATCCTGCCACCTTGTTTACATCCTACAATACTAATGTTCAGAAAAATACAGGTTACAGTCACAACAGAACATAACAGTTAATACCTAGTTTTCCAATTGATGGCCAATTCTCTTTAGGTGACACAAGACAACTTGACCTAAGATATCCACGATTATGGCCTCTTCTCTTACTGAAACAACAAAGCATATTTTATGTCTGAACGATATTAACCAATTGTTTAAAAATAAATGTCAATACATGCCAGTCATTACTAAACAACTAAATTCATGCTCCAAAATCTTGGTTTAACACTTGATATTTACAATGGTATTCTTTTTTATAAAATGCAAAGGAACAGTACAGCAAAGATGGAACCACACTGGTAGCTTCCACAAGTGAAATTCAATATTTTGAAGGTTTATTTTTTAAAGAAAGTACTGACCCATACAGTTCCCTTCAGTTTACTATTTATTACTGATACTGATACCTTTCCTTCTTGAAAACAAGAGTGAAAAGTTATATTCAAATGAAATGTCTATTTTCCAAACATATTCTTTACTATTCTGCTTAACACATGGGCCATAATGTTAATTACTGAACATACAAACCCTCTGTTGCAAAGCTAAAGAACTTCAGACATATTGAAAAGTAAGGCATAATTTTTTCTTCATGTTTTGTTAAGTATACACCATATGAATAAATGTTTCAAAACCAAATTTGTAGAGGTCAAGGAGATATATATTATATCTTGTCAATCATAAAATCTAGGCTGTGATGCAATGCAGTCACCTGTAAAAACACATGTATCACAACCCAGATCATCATTTTCATCACTGTGATAACCCAAATCTATTTCTGCTGCCATAATATGCGAATATCAAATGTTCATTTGGGTTAACTTGTTGGTTTCAGATTAGTGAGTTCTTGGACATGATTACAGTGAAGTGGTCTGCATGGACATCTTTGGATTAATTCATATTCCAAGATTAATACTAGCAATACTAATGTTATATACTCACATCTAAATATTATCAGCATCACAGGATAGAAATGATGCAGTGCAAAAAAACTTCCCTCATTCATGTCCTGCTATATTCTTTCATACAATGTGTAAAAAGAGATTTGTATGTGTTAATGACATGGCTACCCGAAAAAGCATAAGTTCACAGTGTTTGTTAACTTTGTTCATAAAACCTTTATTTTTACTGTGCACCCCCGTACATTCTTCCATTCACCAATAATTTCAATTAGCTTAAAAAATTCTATGTACAGAATAATTATTAGTAATTATTTGCAAAGAACAATACCTCTGTTCATTCTGAACTACTTTAGAACCAAACTTCCTCTTCAGTTCATTGTTTGGATTCAGATTCCTGCGGCTAACATGTAATATTTTTTTCCTTGCTTCAATAAAACTTTTTGAATAACTGTAAACATTTGGATTAGCTGGAGCAGGTTCCCAGGCTACAGCTGATTGTTCATTATTTTCTAACTGTAAAGAGAAAAAAGTTACATATAATATTATGCACTTAATATCTATGTCTCATCTAATAGTAGGAAGTAAAATGCAAGCAAAATTTTACTTAATTTAAAATCATATATGATGAAACAGCTACAGCTGGCATCACACTGTGAAAATTTATGCAGTTTTCCTAAATAATTTAATTCATGAAAAATTTGTTTTCTATCTCTCTGACAATAAAACTCTTCAACACTGCTAACATTAGAACCTGTCACTGGACAAGAATTATGAATGATCTTGGTCAAAAGCCTTAACAGCATTTTAAACAATGACTGAAAGAATTTAAATACATTGTAATGAATGTTAACATGTGGATGGATCACTTGCCAAATATCAAACAGCAATAATAATACAACTACTTAAAGAAGATTGTCATGAAATATAATTTTTAACATGTTATCCATAAAAGAGGGCCACCTCTAAGTTATCTTCACTACTTCTGTGACTATTCCATGGTTTAAATTCTGGTTTCTTCTTTTTCTTTTTCTTCTTTTTCCTTCTTGATTCTTTTGCATCATCTGCTTCTTTTGGAAAATTAGCTGTTTCAGTTTCATGATCATCATCCTCCTTTACCTCAGATTCTGAATGGGACTGCTGATTCAACTGTGAAAATAAACTGATTTACTGATAGTAAACCTACTAAACAGATATAAACAAGAAGTTCTGAGAACATGCTGGTTTACACCATTCAGTTAGCATAGCAGAAACTATAAATTGATAATTATAATATTCTATGCATAATTTCTAGTACAATTTACCCTACTGCATTAAATGGTTCAAATATAACCTCAAAGTTTTCACTATTATCATACTTGTAAGTGCTGACATGTAAACAATATTTTGTACAGAATTTCTGATAAATATGCAACATACTTTTATCCAGTGTCACATGCTATGCTCAAACAGTCCACTAATTACTGTCATCAAATCAAAAACTAAGTACAGGTTTCATGTGGCAACAATGTACTTGTGTGCAGGTGAATGTGTAATGTAAAGTGAAAGCAGATTTGCATTTGGGATGTCCACATGGCTGTAGCACTAACCCAATACTGTGTGTGTAAAAAAAATATGCTTCAAATGGAAATTTTCTAGGCCTGAATAGCTAATGAAGTGCCGACCCCACTCTTGTACACATGAACATGCACAGTTAACATATGGATGACCAAATAAAATAATTAACACAACTTTCATGTACTACGACAAACATTTCTGGGCATGATTTCTGTATTTCTTGGTATTTCAACTTTCCTGTATGCAAAATATATGCCTGCAATGGTAAATGCCAGAACAAACTCATTTCCTGATGTCAATAACAAACAACAGCCTATCTCAACCAATGTTACGTATCCCTTCACGGTTCGAACAAATGACTTAATTTACGTACCAAATCATAGCGATTTACATTTGGCTGTTTCTTCTTTACCCCTCTTGCACCTTCCAAATCGGATTCGGGATCACTGTTCTCATTCAGCAGGTCCTTAGCAAAATCCGTATCTCCTTGTAATTTCCTCAGAATTCTTGATGACATATTTAAAGTGAATTTCCATAGAAATAATTACGTTTGTTGTAACAGTACAAAAATAAATCCACAAAAACAATAAATCTCAACATGGCATTGTTCACTGAAAACTCACGACTAAAACGTAGGTTATCTACAGCATAACCACAGCCTGCTAGATAAAATAACAATTGCCGAACAGTATAATTGGAAAAGTAGCTTTTTGCTCATGAAAATTACAGATTTGGTATGTCTAGGGGTTAATGGCTGTTGCGATGTATTCTGATTTTATGAACCACCCTATTAAGATGATATATTAGACTATTTGACGTACAATGCTGTTTTTCCCAGCGGTTCCCGCACCACCATATCAGTCGAAGTACAATATCTGCTTGAGACATCATGGCCTTGTGTCGAGGGAGCACAACCAAGGACTATAAAATACGTGGCTGGCGTGCCGAAGGTGTCATCCGACCTTCTTAGGTAATGTGACCCTCATACTGCAAACGTGTTCTCAAAGGAGAACGAACTCCAAAACTTTTAACATCCCGCACACGCTTTTAAAGCCAACTAAAAATTATGTAGGATTTGAGGTCTTCACGACAGTGAGTCTGAAGATGGCTGTCTTTTGGGTTGTTCCGCCGTGTAGTCTGGTAGAAGTTTACCGACGTTTCGGCAAACCTCTGCCAGACTAAAAATTGCCTCATTGATGATAACGTCTTCAGGGGTTATGACGTCAATACGCATTTATAGGTTATGTAAGGTTAGGGACGAGTATGCCATCGAACATTGAAACCGGAAATTCGGCTCATACCGATAAACTTACACTACGTCACCCCAACACAAAAGAGAACATTCCATCTCTACCACACACTTCGCCATATCAATATATGCCACATACTTATAAACCTTTCATAGCTATGTCTTTGCATTTTGTACATTTTATACTTCCCCATATCAATACATGCCACTTACTGATGAACCTACCACATCTGCATTTTCTTATATTTATAGAGAATGATGGGTGAAAAGTCTTCACTTATGATTTCTTAAGGCTTTTCAGCTTCATCTTTCAGCAAATGGCCAAACCACCTTTTTCTTGGCCATCCATTTAATTTCTTTCCTTTTATGTTATTTCTGAGACCATTCTCAGATTGAAACTTGCACATGGAGACACTTACCAGGACATACAAAAGTGAATTTTAAATTGCAAAGCTCTATATTTTACATCAAAAATTATTCTTTATCAGGACTTTTTCCATTGTCTGTTCTTTAAAATCACGATGTTTTGGAGGCTGGTTCTGTCTCCGTCTTCAGGTGAGAGGTACCTACTCTCGGGTCCCTTAGATAGAGCTAGTCTGTCACAGAACCAGCCTCCGAAACGTGATTTTGAAGAGCAGACGATGGAAAAAGTCCTGACAAAGAATAATTTTTGATGTAAACTACTGTCGTCAAAACTCTTTAGAACCAAGCTCTATATTTTGCTCACAATATTTTCAGGAATCATAAAGGAACTGCATTAAATCTCTTTTAATCAAACTATATCTTCTGTATATTAAATTGTAAGTTATGTTAATTCATCATTTACTGGGACAACAATTTTGAACTAAAATGGTTGTCCAGTATGAGGAATGCCTGTGGTTGGTTATTAATCAGAACCAAGACACTGACAGGTAAGAAACTGATTTTCGCACATGGTGCAGCCACACTTGGCTCCAGATGTGGCAAAAACCTCTGCTCATCTTCTGTGTTACTGTTTTATGGGCACTTTCAGTTTTGAGTACTGTATAATTAGGAACCTTTGGGTTATATAGGTCACCTAGTAGTATACTGAAGTCAAGGAGCTTATTATGGTATATAGCTCCAACAGATATTATTTGTAGTTTATTTACAGATGCTGTCAGTTCAGACTATATGAACTTGAATGGTAAGATGATTAACGAATATGAACTGGAAATATAATGGAAGGAAGCAATGTGATATAATTTAAGGTAGTATGGGAGACAGAACTAGCTTAGGATTATGTTCAATGGTGGCCTCTCTTATTAGCATGTTGAACCTTTGAGTTCCATTCTAATGGCAGAGGGTGTTTTATTTTCTCTGTGGTTTATCTGAAGATACCATGACAGCAGTTATGAAATAATACAATTTTTGTCAGAAAGTCAGTATTTTGTTTTGTCATTTACTTTCACTGGAAGTTGACATGAAAGTCTAAATAATGTATTCTGTCACATTATTTGTTTGAACTCCATGATATGAATATACCCTTTTCAGGTGCAGAGCTTTCTTTTATGCACATGCTGAACACAGATTATGGTAGCCAAATGTGCTCCCTTCAAAATCAAACAGAATTTTCTTCAGCCATACACTTGTCAGGGCACATATGTGAAACTAGAGTTGAAAATGTATGCTGTGGTACAAAATGCATAAATCTTGGTTCAATGTATAATAGAAAAGAAAAGAAGATAACAGAAAAACGGGTATTGAACTGAAACAAGTTCAAGAGAAGTGACTAAAAATGCAGTTAGTCAAGACAACATAGATAAAACTGAAGTCAGATTTCCATGCTTTCAACAAAATTTTTGGGTGCAATGTGCCACTCTGTTACAAACACTTGTCTTACAGAACCTCTTTATTAATGCCTTATATAATAGAAACAAATCATGTTAACTTTGTTTATATAATTCTGTACAATCCATTTTAAAGATGATTGGAAATTCAAATAAGTAACATTATTTTATTATCACGCAAGCGAAGTCTTTGGTCTTCATTTACCCCTACAGCCAACAATGGTAGAAAATTATAAATACTTTTAACATTTACATTAACATTAAATGGACAGATGATTCTCTATTGTTCTTCCTCTTTTAACCTTCTGTACATGCTTTTAAAATCAAATAAGAAAGTTTATATAAAATACAGCTCTTCTGTAATGCTGTCTCATTAGTCTTATGCAGAACATCAAGCGACAAAACTTTTCTTTTAAGAAATTAGATAGCAAACAATGATATGATCCACTTGCATTTTCCACACCTATTATAAAGCGTTTATTTTATTATTATTGTGAATCAATTGTTTAGTTGGTCCACAAACAGCCAAAAACTTTGGCCTTTTGGCCGCATTAACTCGACTGCTTGCAGACCAGGTGAAACTGTAGCCACGGCTCGAACCAAGAGATGGGTGGCTACAGTGAGTTGGGATTGTGCACACGCAGTAGTTGGAGCAACCCGAGAAGCACAGCCTTTTGCATGCTGCTGAGTAATGCTTCAGCGTTATGCTGGCATGCCAGAATAAGCTTAATGTTAAGCACAAGTGACGGCTTGACTCCTCCAAGAACTCCTATTATAAGGACTACTAATCTGACAGTAAAACCAGGATACAGCTGTCTTAGCTCAAACACAAGGTCTTGATACTTGGTCTATTTTTCAGTCTCCTTCACAGCTATATTTATTTCTGCAGGGGCCAAAAACTCAGTGATGTACAGTGTGTTCAGAGACATAGATGAGAATGATATCAGGCTTGGTAGCTGTTAACTGTCTGGTAGTGTGGAACAAATAGTTCCAATAAATTTTACATTTATTGTTCTCAGCAATGGACTCAATGTCCCCAGGGGAGTATGGAAAAAAGGGGGTCTTATTAATGCTGTAAAAGTGCCTCAGGTGGTAACAAGGTACACGTAAAGCAGCGTTATGCTGACAAATGTAGGTGCAGCTGGCACAATGTTTGCAAACTGACAGAAGATGCATCAGCATCTCAGGTTACATTCAGCATGCCCTGCAGACAGTATCTGCTACCCCCACACCCATCACCATTTCGCAGTACACAAGTGTGTTTACAACACCATCTTGGCATGCTAAAATGAAACCCTCGATTTCAGACTTCAATCCAGCCGACCGTAGAAAGGCAAACGTCGGGTCTTTCGACAAACCCATTTTTTTATGTTCTCAAATAAGGTCCCATGCAAGGGTTTATCTGCATGTTGTTTGAGCAACAAAGTTTGCTCAGCCTTCTTAACAGTGCCCTTGAATTGATCTGACGTCAGCATCAAGAGGGGCTGTCTAACTGAATTGATTTCGAAGCCAAGTCCAAGGTCATTTGCTGCTCTCTTTGCTGCCTGAAATATAAATGCCCCTACACCCACAGACTAATGTGAGCATACGAATGTCAAGAGGGGATCAGAGCTATTTATGATGGAATGAGCTGTACCCAGCACTATCTTATTGTGAAGATTTTCCAGACCCAGAGACCTTTACCTGCAAGATGATGTGGGAAGTATATGCGTCTGATGGAGGATTTAGGATGAAGACTTTGGTGCATGGTCACCATTTTTCTGGTGGCCCTGTCCAGATTTTTCATCTCATTACCTGTCCACTTTATTGCTCTAAAAGTATAGAGTAGGATCGGAACAGCAAGCATGTTGGTAGCAATGACTTTGTTCCTGCCAGACAGCTCGAAACTCCAAATCTGCTGTAGGGTGTGTCTATACTTGCTGCAGAGAGCCTCTTTTACTTTGGACACATGCTGGCCATGACTCTCACTCACACCAAGCCATGTATAGGACTCTGCGGCATCAAGATGATGTATGATGCTTCCATCCACAGGTTGCATGTCTTCGCCAAAATCCCAATTTCTCCCCCTTTTCAAATGCAGAACTGCACATTTGTCCAATAAAATTCCATGCCAATATCCTGACTGTATACTTGCACAGTGTTTAGTGCACTTTGAAGGTCATTGTCACTGGTGGCATAAAGCCATAAGTCATCCATATAAAAAAGGTGGGTGACTTTGTGCCAGCAGTTGGAAGGTACACCACATATGTAACCGCACTCATGTTTTAGCACAACGGAAAGAAGTAGCGAGATGCAACTGGAAGGTTCTTTCTGAAGAGATGGGAATGGCATACACAAAAGATGGTGTTCTCCTTTACTGCCCTATAACATTATCATCAAGACCATCATTGTCGTCATCATCATCATCATTAACATCAATGAGAAATAATGTGAGATCTGAGATTCTCATGGTGGTGAAGATGTCAATATTGAGTCTGCATTGTAACACAGTGTGGCCTTGTAGTTAGATGCCAATGTTGCTCCAAAATGTTGACATCTACCTACAAGACCACATGGCATTAAAACACAGAAGACCAATTCCAACATAAATATCAATGCCCATACTGCATGCAGGATTTGAATGAAAAGTCCTTATTTGGGATTAAGAACAAACTGAAAACAACTCCGATTCTTCTCCTGCCACAGAATTATAAATTAATTACACCTTTAAACATGAAAATATTGAATCACCACACACATCAGTCTTTGAACAGCATGATTTTCACTTTTCAACAACTTAAATGAAAACATTATTAATAACCAATGCGAGAGCACATTTTAAGTGAATAACAAAAGTTTCTTATGTATATTTCTTTGTGCATTATTAATAAAAGTGACTATCTAAAACAGCAGAAAGGTATTATCATTTATGAAAATTACCAGAAATAGTGAATGGAATGTTACATGTGAATGTACAAACACAAAACAATGTACTAAATATGGGGGGGGGGGGGGGGGGGG